ACTGCATCGAGGAGGTGATGTTTAAATGGCTTTGTAAGGGTGCTTGGGTGACTCAGTCAGTTGAGCATCCGACTCTTGCTTTTGGCTCAGGTCATGATTCCAGGGTTGTGGGATCGGCATTGGGCTCTTGATGAGCATGGAGCCTGCTTAAGATTCTCGCTCTCTCCTTGTGCCCCTCTTTCCTGCTTGCACACACTCTCTCCAAAATAAAATAAGTAAGTAAAAATAAGTGGTCTTGTATAATGATAAAAAAAATTAGTAGGCAAGAGATTGGAAGGGAAATTATTCTGGGAAAAAAGATAGGAATGAGTAAATCAAAAGAGTGTAGAGTTAATTAAGAGAGCCATGAGTGAAATATTAAGGAGATTATTGAAGTACTGAATGTTCTTCAATGTTCAACTATGGATTTAAAAAAAATTATTTATCAATTTTATTCATTAATTCACCCATAAGACAATGGGTGAGACTGTGAAAATAAATAATATTATTTGAGCTATACTTTAAGAAAATGAATTTTTTGGTAACAGAGACAATTTATTGGATACTCCAATGCGGTGACATTTACAATTTTCTAGGGAAGATATAGTGACGTTTCTTACCAGAGTGATAACATTAGGAGTGGAAATCAAAGGATGTTGCAGCTTACCTGGAAGAAAAAAGAGACACAAGGAAGAAAGGAAACAAAGGAAAAAAGAAATATGACTTTGAGGACGTTAGTTAACTGAGATGATGGCATACAGATATTTTAAGTAATATGTGAATAGACATGAAAAGTAGGCTGGGGCCAGAGGAGATTATAAACAGTAAATTCTTTAATAAAAGGGCAGCTCGGTGCCTAGAATGAGTCTCAGGGGGAAACTGAACATGGGTGTTGGTGTTAATAAGCTATGAATATAACTTATACATCCCTCTTTTCTTGCTATTCAAGGATGAGACTAGCCTAGCCCTCATCTTTAGTCTGTGCAAAGTCTGTATCTCAGGAAATTAAATTTCTTATTGAAAATTAATACATTGACACTTTGATGTATCAGATATTTTTATATATTTGATCAGCATGAATGAATTTTTATGCCAGAGAGGTTCTGGTCTGATCATTTTCTCAGTGAGCTGAAACATTCGAGTTCTTGAACTTACTCAGATGAGGACCAGATTCATACTTGAATAGTAAGGAGGGAGGGTTGCATAAATTGTATTCATATCCTATTAACAACTTTGCATTTCAAATTCTAAATTAATTGTTGTGCTCAAGAAAAGCTTAAGCAAAATTCATCTATTCAAGATGAAAAGGGCTTTCGGGAAATAGAGATATGGGAAGAAAAACTGTAAATGTCTACATACTTCACTTTTCTAATCTATGCAAAGGAAAGTTATAATAGTATCCACCTTGTGGAGATATGAATAGTAAGTCAGATAATACATGAAAGCATTGAGAACAGAGTCCAGCACACAATAAGTAGCACAATTCATGTTGGCTATGATGATGATTTAGATGAAGGTGAAAGAAGTGACAATAGAGAGAAAAGTAGAAGAACAAAGAAAAGAAGATGCAGTTTTCAAAAAGGCTAGGTCCAGTAGATAGGACATTTTTAAATGAGCTATTTGACGGAAAATTCTCCACTCTCCTTTGCTTCTGGAAAATGATACATTCTACAAAATTTTAGTTCACTATTAAGTGTGTTTTAAGATTTGCCTACTTGTTGGGGCGCCTGGGTGGCTTAGTCGGTTAAGCATCTGACTTTTGCTTAGGTCATGATCTCGCAGTTTGTGGGTTCGAGCCCCGCATCAGGCTCTGCGCTGACTGCCAGCTCAGAGCCTGGAGCTTGTTTCAGTCTGTGACTCCCTCTCTCTCTGACCCTCCCCTGCTCACGCTGTCTCTCTCTTTCTCTCTCTCCTAGAAATAAATAAAACATTTAAAAAAATTTTTAAAAAAAGATTTGCTTACTTGTTTGTTTCCCACAGAATATTAGCATCATGGGAAAGTGAGTGGAAGAATTCACATCTCAGAAATAAAGCATATTAAAACAAGATTGTAATAACATGAATAAGAAGAAAATAGGCCTGACTGTGATGTACACATTTCACATGATGGAAAACAATAGAAATTTTGGCTGACCACATTTTACTTATGTTATTTATAATCTGTGGAATATTAGATTAGGATGGTGCATTTGAAAAATGACTCTGAACTGCATTTAAGTATTTTTATTATCTTGGCTAGCTACACATGTAACATGAAGTTATTTTATAACAACTTTCAAAGAAACAGGCCAAGAAAAAAAAACAAAAAACAAAAAAACAAACCTCCAAGCTTCAAAAGGAGATAGCAATCCATGAGTGAAATGTTTTGGTTTTCCCCTTAATCTAAATGGGCTGCTTAATAACTTGGTATTAAAAGTCAGTTCTAACTTTGGTCTAAGTACCAACTTTTTCAATTTTATGGTTATCTATAAACCTGGATTTAGTATGTGACTCTTTCCCAAAAGCTATAATTTTGGACTTACTGTAATTAAATTTTTCTTATCTACTAGAAAGGATGGTAAAATATCTTTCAAATATGTGAAGGGTCAGGTCTTCAGAAGGTTGTGGGCAAGGGTGGTTGAGGGTATCTATGATAAGAGCTCACATATTCTCTCACCTCAGGAGTAATACTTATAGGATAATAACTATTCACACTTAGTTCACTGAAGGGAACCATTAACTGTTGGTATATTCAAGTAACTAGCAAAAGCCAATTTTAAATCAAATTAAATTGATGGATGCTTGCGGCATATTGACATTTGAGGCCATGATTATAAAGTTCCTGAGGGTTAATTGTTCTTTTCTTTCAACCCATAGTGCAATGTCATCAATTAGCAGAGAATTAATAAGTGCTAATTGAATTGAACAGTTAAAAAATAAAAAGTAAAGACATTAGAATTAAAGTATAAAATATAGAATTTTAGAATAGATAGATCATACAGATATAGATAATTTAAGCTTAAGTCCTTTTATATTCTGAGACAATATGTAGTCTCTAGGTTCTCAAATAGCAACAGACAAAGAGTTTTCTATATTGTTGTTAGTGGGGAACATAAGGAGGGGAAATCTAAAGGCAAAGTGATTAACATGAAGTAGAAAGTAAATATATATACAAAAAGATGAAATGAAAAATAATAAAATAATGGATTCAAAGTGAAGTCAAGGAATAAATCTGTGAGTTCATGTGTCACAAAATAAAATTTATCAAAAATAGGTAGATTCTCAAGAGGATATAAAAGTATGACATTTTCCTGTTAAAGACTATAGAAATAAGGAGTGACATAGTAGCTGGCACTGGTACATGTGGGACACTCCACTGAAACACTGACATTTTTTGCAGTCTATGATTGCGAAGAGAGAATCCTTTTGAGAAGAGAAGGAGAAATAAGACTGAAACTCTGGAGGTGTTTCTTAGTCTCAAAATTTTATGATTGTGTAAATTGAGGCTTAAGAAATAGCTTGGTAGTAATTGATACAATGAAACTGCTAGACAAGCAAAGGAGAAAAACAAATAGACAAACAGCAAAGAGGCGAAGACATTTTCATCTCCAGAGGGTCTTAAATTTCTCTATCAGGTGAAAATGGAATGTGTCTATGTCCAGCTCCTTCTCTATATTGGAGATAAGATTCCAATAGCATCTGATGCTTATTCAATCCTATATGTTTTATCCTCAACTTAAAATTAATTTCCTTGGTGTAAATTGTGAAAACATGATTCTTGACCCAACTTTTTTGATCAGTTTTAATGGTTGAAAATTCAGTAGGAATTAAAGAAACTTTGGAACTACAAAATAGCAGATTAAGATGCATTCCCTGTGCAAATTGTCATAACTAGATACAGGGAGGAACAATGGTATAGCCAGAAATACCTAGATCAGAATAATCCCTTGGCTTCATATGCCAGAGATTCAAAGGCATGAGAAAGTAAATTAGATATGTGAAATTTATATATCACTTCTCCTCTGCTCTTTTCCATTTTCTGAGTCTAATATAATCTCTAGATTTGGCCCCTTATTCATATAATTTAAAATAATTATCCGGTTAATCAAAGATTTTCTTTCATTTTCTGGAGTGACAATGGCTATGTCTTCTTAAGACTTGTGGAGTCCATGACTATCACCTCCTCATCTGTTAAACCCAGTAATAACGTATATAAGATTATTAGTGTACATCTTCTCTACTATATTGCAAATAGAAGAGGCTGTAGACTTATAATTCCTTCTGACTGTAATTTGTTACATTAAAAGACTCAGAAATTCAATGGAATAATAGTAACAGGGTATATATAATATAATCAACTAATAAACTTTTTTTCCTTTTTTTTTACCTTTGGGTAATGATTTGAAAAATGCATTTATATCTTTACTTCCAAGTATATTTTTAACTGAAAAAGTAAAGGAATCAGGATTCTATATCCTCTAAAAGAATCACATTTAGGATTAGATTTGATTCCATTCATTTTTAGATTAGATTATACAGAGTTCATTTAAGAAGAAAATGAGTACACAAAACACCTTTAAGGAAAGTGTCTATCTACAGCTTTAAAAACACTTAAAAATGGAAGTGTATTTCATTATTAAAAAATTAAATGTATTAAGTTAAATATTTATTTTTGGGTTTTCATTTTAGATTATATGTGCTACTGCCTATTTGCAAACAAACAAAAAAAAACAAGACAACAAACAAAAATAAAAACAAATATATCAACATTATAGCTGGATATTTAATTTTCTAAAAATGAATCATAGAAGTATCAAACTCTAGCAGCGGGAATCAGTCATTAGCATTCTGAGCTGTTTTAAGATGCTCCCATGACTATAGTAGTCAATGAAAGTTGAGAATCCCTGCATAAAATGATTTGGCCAAAGTCTCACTGTTTCAAAACCTGAGGTAGACTACAGCTTCCCTACACCCAGAGCATTAACTATTCTGATGATTCTACCACAATTACCAATCTTTTTTTTTTTTTTTTTTCCTTTTAGATCACAATACCACGGACATGATAGGTGTGATTCATCATGTAATCAGGAGGAAAATTAATGGTAAATTGAGGTCCAGGGGCAAAGAAACTGGCTTGTTTTCTGTATTTACACTGTGATTGTCAATGACTATTATCTGCTGGGTCCAAATAATACTGGAAATAGCTTCTTCAGGTCGGTAATATCAGCCAAAATAATGAAATAGTAGCCGTGTCAGGAAGCAACCTCACCTGACTCCTCTATTAGTTGGGAGAGAATATAAAGTGACCTGCCCTCCCTAACATGATCTTAGACCAATTATTATAGTGCATTGTTCTCAAAAGGCCAAGATATCTTAAACCAATGCCCATCGATAAAAGCTTTTCCCATAAACTCCTCCTATTAATTAAATCAAATGTAGCTTTTAAATTGATGAGACTGCAAAGATAAGTTATTCCTTAAGCTTAGTATACTTATCAATAAAATAATGTAAAACAAAACAATGAGTAAGAATACTAAAACACTTAAGAATTGCGCCATCCAATTTCAGTTGTCCCTGTGCATTCCTATAATTTAAATAATAGAGTTACTGAGGAAAATTTTTAAAAAACAAGCAAAAGAAAACAAAACAAAAACCCTAACAGTTGGTGAATATCCGAAGCATAAAATGTGGTTTCATGTCATGTTTATTTTGGCTTTTACTGTATAGAATGATCCGGAAAGTGAACTTATGGAAAATAAAGGGAAAATAAGCTAATATCGAAGACTCTAAATAAAAAGGTCTATTGTTGCTTTAGAAAAGTGAGATTTATATATTGATGCATCTAAAATATATGGTATATTTTCAACATCAACTTAGACACAGAAGAAATTGTGGAACCTACTGAGAAGCCAAAACATACTTCGGTTGCTTCCAAAAATTAACAACAATCCACGTTTATATGCTGGATTCAGAAAACTAAGATATAAAAGTAAAATAACTTGTTTTACCTAAATTAGCTTTGAGACATCCTTTAATCCAATGTATATTTAGGACTGAATTCCTGATACATATATAAACTAATTCTGAATGTTCCTTGGAAAATTCTGATGCCTACCAATATTTATTTAACAATGACAAAGAAGCACTTAACAGTATTTTTGAAGCTTTGTGTCATTCAGAAGTTGCTTTCAATTTTCAGAAGGACATGTTATAAATGGAGTTGCTTTCATAAAGCCCTTGAGTAGACTGTTTCATTAGAACTGAATTTCAGACAATTTTATTTATTTGGAAATCTAATAGGAAGTACCTCTGAGTTTAATGTAGGCCAAAAAGTATCTTCTCAAGATATTTTAAATTAATTACATAAAAATAAGAGCTTAGGAAAAAAGTATAGTTAAATACTTTATAATAAATACTTTATCAAAGGTAAAATAAATACTATAAATACTTTACCAAAGGTAAAATTCCTTTGGGTAAGGGGTTTAGATTTCAAAATATATACCCATATATTTGATACCCATAATATTAGAACATCTATATAAGGTCTGTAGAAATATTAAATTTTTATTTAAAATTTTAAATGTTACTTCTCAAAACCAAAGAACATGCTCTAGGTAGTGAATAAATCTAAAAATTAATCTTATTAATCAATCACATTCTATTTGGTGTACATCATTAAAAGCTCTAGAATCTCACTAAACTATTGGACTCAGTTACTGACACATATGTGGAAAGATAAAATACATGTTAGAATCAAACAGATGTAGAGTCACCTCTTGGTGCCACCTTTTCCAAAATGAGCAGTCATGAGAGAGTCATAATAAATGGTAGTCAAATCTATATTAACCCGGGATGCCTGGGTAGCTCAGTCAATTAAGCCTCAGACTCTTGATTTCAGCTCAGGTCATGATGTCATGGTTCAGTTTCTATTGAGCCCAAGTCAGGCTCTGCACTAACAGTGTGGTGACTGCTTGAGATTCTCTCTCTCTCTCAAAATAAATAAATAAACATTTTTAAAAATTTGTATTAACTCTTTATATTCCATTCACTCAAAATATCCTTATTGAGAACAAGACTTGCTGGGTATACAGCTGTAAATAGAACAAGATATAATCTCTGCACTCATGGGGCTTTCAATCTAGTGGATATTTCTTATAGTTTTTATCTCATGTTTCATGGATACATTCTGAAATTCCCTTGGTTTTTAGGATCATACACCCTATTTCCAAATTATATAACATTGCCGGTTACTAGTCTCAGCTACTACCCTGGATTTGGGGTAGCAAACTAAACGCAGAGAAAAGTTTGGTTTACAACATATTTAGTTTTACTCTGTGCCTCCCAGGACGTTATAGGAATGGATGAGGTACCATTTTCAGCTCAACTCAAAAAGATTTACAGAAAGGTCTCTTCTCATTCTTGTTCTAAACTCCTTGGCCTCATTTCCAAGATCCTCAATAATTATTTAAATAAAAATATTTAGAATATCTTACTTCCTGCAACCAGTTTTCATTTAGATGTCACTTTACTTATCATCTTTGGCTGGGGGTCACCTAGGTTAATATCAGAATAACGTTAGCAATTTTATTAAATTATAAGTTAACATGCTATTATTATTAATGTAATAACAGATTACTATTAAGGTACATATAAATACCTATTCAATTCTCCCTACCTGCCAGATGCCAGATTAAGGAATTTATATTGCATCACTTTGCTTACTCTTGATAACTACCGGATGAAGTATTATTTTTATCTATTGGAATTAAAGCACTTAGGCTAAGAAATGTTAAGAAAATTACTAAAAATCCACCAGTTAGTAGGATGATTAAAATTTGAACCCGGAACATGTCTCACTGTTTTTTACTGCATTCTTATTTTCTGATTCTATCCTGGTTCTAGATTTGCCTTTCTCCCTTTATATCTACTCTTTCATCAAGGCCAGCCAGCCTTCTAAGTTTTCATTTATTTATTTTTTAAATTAAAAAAAAAGCTTTTTGTAGTTTATTCATTTTTGAGACAGAGCACCAGTGGGGGAGGGACAGAGAGAGAGGGAGACACAGAATCTGAATCAGGCTCCAGGTGCTGAGATGTCAGCACAGAGGCCGACACGGGGCTCCGACCCAGGAACCAAACCGTGAGATCATGACCTGAGCCGAAGTCAGATGCTTAACCAACTGAGCCACCCAGGCGCCCTTTTATTTATTTTTTAAATCTGTCATGTCTCTTGTGCCATCTTCACACAGGTTTCAACAGCTTACCACTTATATGAATTTACTTTTCTGTGTCACTTACCCATCCTTCATATCATGATTAATGTTAATAATCCTATAATCCCCACTTTGTAGAGGTACCTCCCATGTGCTTTGCCAGAATCCTCACTCCTTAACTGCCTTTTGATGACGCTTCTGGCTTCACTCCTACCTATATATACTTTAGTGAATCTCTGTGATGGGAATTGTTTCCTGATCTTACATGGTAACTGTGAAAACAATATGCATTTTAGAGCTGATGGTATTCAATTCAAGAATAATCCTACGTGGAAGAAGCTGCAGGGGGCAATCTAGCAGGGTGAATCAGTGCAAGTATGGTTAGTGGTGTTTCAGATAGAACTTGATGACTAGGTACACTATTAACTTGTATCTACTATGCCCAGAGATGTGGCTAAAAAGAGTATGTAAAAGTAATTTGACAGTCCTATCATTTCCCCCTAGGAAGTGTGTAGTTTCTTTTAGAACAAAGTCTAAAGGCTCTAGCCTTCTTTTTCAAATTCTAAGTATCCATTCAAATATTAAGGCTATAGTAGGCTCTCTATAAAGTTTTTTTTATATAAAGCTCCAATGAAATGAATTTGATATCATGCTGAAAATTACTAGAAATGTGCACATTATAAATTATCTCTATAAAAATCATCAGATTGTCAGTGGTAAGTCAATTAGCAGGGGTAATAATGATTTGTGCACTGTACCAATTTCATAAAGTGGAAAAAAAAGTTTGTATTCTATCAAAACACAGGACTTTCCAGTCTCAAAATAACAGTCTTTTAACATGAGAATTTTAAAAAATTAATCATAAAAGTTCAGAACTAAAGGCAAGGATATTTTCTCTGCCAATATATATTGCAAAAGAGGTAAAATTAGAAATTCTTTTTAACAATGATATTATAAATACAATTTACCAGAAATAGAAGTAAATGAAAGAAAATGTGGGTATCCATATACTGTTCTATAGAACATTTCAATTTTATTTCCTGCTTTCTACTCATTAGAAATTGCCCATCATTGTTAGAGATGAATGAATCATTTACATTAGTAAAAACCAGTCCCTTTGCTATAATTTTGACCAGGCATATTTTTCTTAGAGAGTTAAAATTAAAAATTAAACATAGGTATATATTTCTTTTATTTAAATCTCTTAATATTAGCTGTAATTAAGGACAGCATTAATAAACAGAATTGCTTTCTGCTTTACTACATTTTTTTCAGCAAGTTTCCAAGCATACCTGGTACATTAAAAAGCTAAAATAGTTTTCTCATTTTCAATTTCCTTATACAAGTATCACTTCTCTTACTACCTTAGGAGTTAATATCTTAGGCATGCTGAGTTCTCAGAAAATGTAAGTAGTAATCACAGATAAAAATGAACTAAAGCTCACTCACCACTTTCTATGATTATCTCCAGTATGTAAGTTAAAGTCAGTGAGAACTGAATGGTGCAGTTTCCTTACCTATTGATGCCAATCAAATATGTTTTGCAATAAAGAACTGTCTGTAATAATAATAATAATAATAAACATTATTTGGGCACAAGGAGACATATAAAATAGGATTTTTACAATGTTATGATGATTCAGTTTAGCTTTAGACATTTGAAAAGTTTTTCCCAGAATTGGCAATATTTATTTATTACTGTTTCAATGTTTAATTTTATTTTTGAGAGAGAGAGAGAGAGAGAGACAGAGTATGAGCAGGGGAGAGGTAGAGAGAGAGGGTGACACAGAAACTAAAGTAGATTCCAGGCTCTGAGCTCTCAGCACAGAGCCCGGCGTAGATCCTTCTCATTAACTGTGAGATCATGTACCTAAGCTGAAGTCAGATGCTTAACCAACTAAGCCTCCCAGTCAACCCTGAAAACTGGCAATATTTTAGAGATCTGATAGCTCTTTATTCTTTATAGCCCTATAGAATGCAAGATGCAGGACAGTGCCTAAGAAAATGAAATACTAGTTGTCATTATTATATGTGATAGAATATGCCCATCAGAATGACCAGTTGACCCTGTTTATCCAAAGTTTATACAGTAGATTTTTATCATGACGATCTATAGTCTCTATTTAGCTTTGAAAACTAAATGCTAAGCATGAATTATTTTTAAACTTACAGAGTTGGAAAATGACCCAAAATAATTCTTATTCTTGATGACTGA